GTGGTGGCAAGTGTGGGGGCCAAAAAAGAAAAACTGTAGGAGTGAATAGTGTGAAATATTAAAACAAACAAACATGTTTATATGCATACCTGAGGCCATGATATCTGATAAAGGAGACTTTGGAGCAAAGAAAATTAGAGACATAGAAGATATTACATAATGGTAGAAGGATAAATTCACCAGCAAGGCATAATAATCTTTAATGTATACACATCCAAACAACTGAATCTCAAAGTACATGAAGCAAACACCAAAGAGGCTGAAAGGAGAAATGACCATATCCACAATTATTGTTGGGATCTCAACACCTTGTTTTCAGGAAGTAATAGAATTACTAGAGAGAAAATCATCAAGAATATTGAAGAGCTGAATAATATAATCAATACAGTAGCAGAATCTACATGACATATACCAGAATACTCTACCCAACAACAGCAGAGTATACATTTTTTCAAGTTCCCATGCAACTTCATTAAGATAGACCATCTCCTGGGCCATCAAACAAACGTCAACAAATGTAAAAGAACTGAAATATAGAGTATGTTCTCTGACCATAATGGAATCAATCTATATAACAACAGAAAGTAAACAGAAAAGTATCTAAACACTTGGAAATTGTAGTTGACATCTATCATTCCAGTTCATTGTTCAGATCCTTGTTATAAAAGACCAGAGGTTAGAAATAATTGTCTCCTTAGCTGAAGGACATTTCAGGCTGAACAAAAGAAAGCTCACTCAAGATATTTCGGAATATTGTTGAGAGCAAGGCTAGAAGGAGAGGGACAGTTTAGAAGGCTGTTACATCAGTCTCACCTGACATTAAAGCTTGTACTATACTAAAAAAGAAAGTACAGCTTGCTGATGTTAATGAAGTCAATTTGGTAGTTTATTGGATTTAGGAGGTGAGAGAGAGGTTGCCTACCAGGTTGTGGTGAAGTTGTTAGATTAGAGAGGCCTGAAAGAAGGCAAGATTCAGATGCCTTCCTAGTGTATAACTCATGAATGTTCATACTTCTATTCTTTATAAATGCCGCACCATTTTCTAAATGGTTCTACATAGTTACCTTCTACTTCAAGATTTCTTCCCTGATTATGCCATCTGTCAAATAAGGCTCCCATATATAGACAGGTAGAGAAGTTTGCTTTCTGGGGTTTGTATGATTGTTCTATATAGGCAGGTTGACACTTTGCTTGCCCTACCATGATGTTAGGCCAAGATGAGGTACATGGTATGAGACCACTGATGTGTCTTCAAACTTGTATGTTTTTTCTTAATTTTAAAATAAATTTGATTTTAAATTTATTTTTTATTTAAAATAAAAATGAAGGTAGCTCTCCTTAAAAATAAAGGCGGGGATTCTCCCCAGGGTAATTTTGGCAAAGGGAGGCTTCATTATGAACATGTGGATATGAGCTTCATCCTTCCCAACTTCAGGAGGTTGATGGAAACATGGCAATGAGGGATTCCCAGTAAGACCCTCAAATAAGACAGTAAGTGATCAGGCAGCCTGGTTTGCATGCTGCAGCCCTTGGGACTGCAACTTTTTTGTTCTCCATAGTCTTTTTCTTCTCTCACTGAAAGTGAAGAGTGATAGAACTGGAATAACAACTGAGCAATCCTAATTCTAGAATTGGCATTATTGAGGTGAGAGTATATAGAAGGTTTTGTAGCATTTCTATGCATTTCTATATATTTATGGACACTCCCTTCTATCCACTTCCCCACAGCACTCTCTCTACCTTCCAACCCAACAATAGCTGTGTGAAATGGCATAATGAATACCAAGACAGAACATTTCCAGAGAGGGATATGGAGAACACACAGGATGGAAACCCAGGGGGGCTGGTTCAGGATCACAGTAAGTATCCTGACAAAAAATAGGGAATGTGCAGGAGAGGCAGATCAAGGGGAGTTGTGTTGGTCTTATATAGAGATGCTAGGAACTTTGTTGAGGACAAAGGGCAGGTTCGCACAACCAATTCAAAGGGAACAGGTTGACTGAAGGAAGGTCAGAGGAAGTTGACTAAAGGCAAAGGTGGAAACTACTGCCAAGGATATGGAGCAACTCCTCACCAGATGCCACAGTTTGGCTCAAGCTGAGTGTGGAGGTCTATACTCTCCAAATTCCTTGTCAGAGGAACAGGTAGGGTTTTCAACACATAGGATTTTCTGTTACCTTATTAAAGGAAAATCATTTTAAATATCTAAATTTGATTGTTTGTGAGTTAAATATTCAAATAGGGAGAATGGAAAATTAGAAAATCCATGTCTGGCAAAAGAAAAAATTAAAATCATGTCCATAGTCCCTACTTTGGAAGCCTTTTAAAGCTCAGTAGAAGGTTGGAATAAAACACCAGGTTGGGTCTGTTCTACAGTCTTACTGCCCTGTTGTCTCCCTTCTCTCCCATCCCTTCTTTTCATCCTTAGACTCCTTATGGAATAAAGTATAACAAGACATGGCTAATAAATTCAATACAGAGCCATTGCAGTGTCCCCTTCACCATGGTCGATGTAAGACAGGTGGTGAATCCGGATAAATGGGAACAGGGAAGAGGGAGAGATAGCTCAGCAGGGTCCACTGGCCTCTGACACTATTGCTGTTGCTTTCAATCCCTGTATTTCCATTACTTTAAAGACCAGGCCCAGTTCTTTATTCAGGATGCTAGGGCTGCCTCTGCATTGAAGGATATCAACTACAAGATTTGTGATGAGGAAAATCAAAAGGTATGTGTTGAGGATATTACCCATACCTAGTTCCAGTGCAGGAAGACAAGCCAGTCAGTGGCCAGTCATCTTAAAATGAGAGTTCCTAGTGCTTACCCCACCTCTCCTTCTTATAGCTATCTATACATGTCAATCCCTCTGCTGTACCTTACTCTGTACAGAATAAACTGGAGCCAGAAGAAATGGAGCAGCTAAAGGTAATGAAGTCTCAAGGCCCATTGTGTGCCCACACCCAGACCTACCTCTTCTTTCCCCAGTCCCCAATTTTCCTATCACCATGACAGACTCACAGTGGCTCTCACCATATTTCTCTGCAGCTGACCATGAGCAAATGCTATGATATCTCCCAAAAAGCTCTTGACCTCCATAAACTCTACTTTGACCCAAGTACAACTGATAGTAGCAATTCTGGGGGTCTGCCTGGAAGGGAGACTGAGGGATGGTAATGAGGGAAAGGTTGATGCTGGCCCTGGATCCCTCTCAGCCTTCTGATGCCTCCTCTCACCTTTTTGAAGATGGACCATGATATAGATATAATCCTGAATTGAAGAAACTGCATGGCTGCCACCCTGCAGATCATCAAAAAGAATTTCCCTGAAGTGAGGCCTTATGTCCACTGCTGGTATTATGGTAGGGGGTGGAACACATGGGATAGAGGGAAGATTTGTCTCTGAGGCCATAGATAGTAACTGTCACTCTAACTCCTTCCCCAAAAGCTTTTGTCCTTGAACTTGTGCAACAACAAACTGTATGGGCTGGATGGCCTGTCTGACATTATAGAGATGGCCCCCACAGTCAAGATCCTGAACCTCTCCAAAAATGAGGTGGGAAGAGGGAGCCAGATCAAAGTTGGGGTTGATAGTGGGTGGTTGTGCTCATCAGAGTGATGACAAGAGGCAGAAGAAGATACCAGAGCAGGAGGGAGGGCCCAAGTGTCTCTATTCCTAGGACATTTCTCTGGTTTCTTTCCCGTATTTTTCAGGTGCAGTCAGCCTGGGAGTTAGGCAAGATGAAAGGGCTGAAGCTTGAAGAGCTGTGGCTGAAAAGGAACCCTCTGTGTGGCACCTTCCCAAACCAGCCCACCTATGTAAAGTCTATGGTAACTTCTGTCATGCCTCCTGAGGACATTTGTACCTTGGGAACTTGAATTGCCACCTCTAGGAGGACCATAGGCCCCCTCTCTCCTCTCTCTGTGTCCCTGACCTGTGCTTAGAGGTCTTTTCCTTCCTATGAACTGCTCACTTGTTCTCCAGGTCTGGGCTCTGTTTCTCCACTCTGCACCCAGCTGTCTCTAGCATTCCTTCCCATGAGAATGCTCCAGGAAGCAGGAGTCCTCCTCTTCAGGACTAGAAGTGACCACTTTGAGCCAGATGCTATGAACTGAACTGCCAAGGGTCCTCCAGCCAGGACCTCATGCTGAGACAGGCCTTCCTACTCCCTGCTGAGATGGGGATTCCCTCACCCCAAGAGGAGCCTACTTTCCTTGAAAAAATTGGGTCCCCTTTCTAATTCCAGGCTGCCACGGTAGCTTTCCTGCCCCATGCTGAAGGCTGAGGTCCTGGGGGGGGCTCTTCCTCAAGATCCTGTTCCTCTGGCCCAATGTCAGGAGCTAAGCCCTCCTTGGGAGAAACCAGGCTTCCCTGAATCAGGGGGCCAGAAGTGGGTGACTGCCAGTGAGCAGAGGGCTTCCTGAGGCAGGAATGGAAGGCAGAGGGCAGAGGTGCTTGAGGAGAGAGGACAGGCCTCTCAGAGGCACTTCCCCCTCTCTTCCTTCCACACATCACATCAACCTGACTGGTCCTTCAGAGAAGCTCTGGGTAGCCCGACACGACTATAATCCCTCAGGCTAGGAACTGACTGAGAGAGGCACAGGTGTGCTGGGGCCATCAGGAGGGAAGGCGGTGATCATAAGAGGGGGCCACAGACCCTCAGCCCCATGCTGACCTGGGGCTTGACCCTCTAGTCCTTCTGGGGTAGGTCTCTTGCCCCTGTGGCTGCCTTGTTCCCCATGCCTGGCTCAGACTGAGCTCTCACAGGTGACAAAGTTTCAGCCAACACAAATGGGTCCCCAACCCAACACCTGCATGTTTTCCATTCCTACTTTGGGTGCCAGGGCCAGCCAGGACAGATGATTTCCAGGGCAGGCTATTTCTCCTGGAAAATGTAAGGTGAGGATGAACCAAGCATGATTTGGGATGTTACAAGGGAGGCTTTGTCTACCACATAGTTTCAAGGTGTGTTTTGATTCCAGAAAAGCTATAATGGATCTGAGATTCTTAAGAATCTAATCCTTCAGTTCCTGCTTCAGTAAGTACCCATGGGACCATGAGGCTGAAGAGGGCTGGAATGGGCCACCCAAGCACAGGTCTGCTCATGGGTTGAGGGGAGCTTTCAAGTCCCCGTGGGGACCCAAACCATAGAGATAGCCTATTGCCTTTGCTCTTCTTCATGTATTACTTGATCTATGACTCTGGAGACTGATAGGGTCTCCTCAGTGCTTACCACAATGAGGCCTGCTTCTCCCTGACCATTCCCTTCAACCCTGAAGATGCAGCCTCGTGAGTATCACAGCTCAGACTCTGTTCCTGGGCCATGTGTCTCCCCAGCAAACACATATCAGCTCCCGGAAACATCTAAATTGCCTGGGCCACCACCTCCTTTTCCTCTTTTTTTCCTAAAAACAGCTTGGAAGAATACTTCAAGGATAGCAGTGATATTAAGAGTCAAGGACCCTGGTAAATGTGAAAAGCAAGAAGATCAGCATGGGAAAGGGGGCATGAAGGGAACATACATAGGGGCCAAGGGCCTGACCTTTCCTTCTCTTTCCCCCACAAACCTGCATGTTCAGCTGCTAAAACATACAAAGTATGACATTGTTGACTCCCTCAATATGCTGCCCAAAACTCAGCATGACCTTAACCCCTATGTTGTAGACCTGAGCATTCAGATGGTGAGCATGTTTCCTCCCTTGGGCAGACCAAGAAAGTCGTAAGTGGGTAGGAGGTTTAGAAGGATACTGAGAGCCTTAGTAACTGTTCTTCCCTTTCAGGAAACAATGCTCTGTTTTCATGTCAATGGGGGTTTTAAGGAAGGTACGTATCTGTAGAGTCCTCTCCCCAGATACCCCACTATTTCTTTCCCCTGGCTTGGCTACCTTCCAATTCTTCCAGCTTTCCAAGTTGCTCCCTTCCCTTCCCTTTCCTTCCCTTCCCTTCCCTTCCCTTCCCTTCCCTTCCCTTCTCTTCCTTTCCCTTTCCTTTTGATTCCCTTTGTGTTCTCCCATCCCCACCTTGCCCCCAGACTATCCTGGTCTGACATACATCCATGCCTTTTTGACCCAACACAGCTTACATGTTAGAGGCACAGGCTGTGGCATTTTATAGCTCTCATCTCAATTCCTTACTCTGTGACCTTGGGCCGATTATCTAACCTTTCAGTTTCCTCATTTGCAAAACAAGCTAGTAATACCCTTATCTTGGGCTGCTTTAAAAATGAATCAAGTGAACATGTATTTGTCAGAGGATCTGATACATGTTGGGGGTCCTACCCCCTGGGAGTTGATTATCCCTATTATTACCCTCTCAGTCCTTGAAGCCCCCTCCTATCTTCCAGTGAAAAATTGTCCCTGTCTGGCTCCCATCAGGGTACTGCAAGACTATCAAGTAAGTCCTTGAAAGGGGAATCCTGCTTGTGTGAAAAATATGTACAACTCTAAGGGGATATTGCTGTTTGTTGTCATTGAAATGGAAGGATATTCTCAAGGTTCTGTCCATGCCTTCACCTTGATCTTCATTTTGACTTCTGACAGCAATTCCAGGTAAGTGCTGTGTTGTGGGCGCAAAATGGGAACAAACACCCATCCCAGCCTGAGGACAATGGTGTAGGAATATAGTGGTACAGCCTAGAGGTTTCCTCAGTGGAAAGCCAGCAGGTAGACCTAAGGAGAGGTCTAGGTTAGTGGTTAAGAGTGTGGACTCTGGAGTCAGAATACCAGATTCTTTTCCTGACCTCAACACTCACTAGCTAACTGAGTGACATTGGTCAGGTTATAACACCTCAGTGACTCACTGTCTTACTCTGAAAATGGGGATTGGAGTGTCCATTCCTTGTGCCTCTGTAAAGGGTAAATACATTAGAATTAAATCTACAAATCTAGTGAAGCTGGTAGACAATTCTTCAAAAGTGGGTGCTGTGGGGGGGCCAGAGGTACCAGCCAAGGAACCCAGGGGTCAGGCACAGTAGGGGTATGGGAGGAATTTGGTAGCTGAGTGGCAATGGGAGCAGGATGGTTGTTGGGGGTGGGGTTATCCATTTCTCCAGTTGTCTAAGGGTCCAACTTTCTTCTAGTCTGTGCATTGTGAATGATGAACTGATTGTAGGGAATGCCAGGACCAAAGAAACTCAGAGCACCTTCTCCATTCCAGTGCCCTCACCCTCCTCAAGCTGCATGCCTAACCTTCTCCCAGAATCAGTGGGAAATGATGCAGGCTTTCTCCATTCAGTCTGGGACAAACCTCCAGTGGTCTCAGAAGTGAGTGTTTAGAGTCTCAAAGTATAGGAGGGAGCTGGGAGGAATGAAGGAGTGAAGGGGTAAATAATAGGAACTTGCAGTTAATTTGTACAAAATAACTATTTGGATGTTGTGCTTCTAAAAAAGTAAGTTCATGAAAAATATATATTAATTTTATTGTGATATATGTAATTTTAAAACAATATAATGTTCAGATGACATGAGCATGTGTATGTAAAATCCTAAGAAAACTACCAAAAAACTATTAGAATTAATAAACAAATTCAACATTGTTTCCAGATACAAAATCAATATAAAAAATACATTTTATTACTATGCACCAGTAATGAACAGTCAGAAAATGAAATTAAGTCAACAGTTCCATTTATAATAACATTAAAAATAACATACTTAGGAAACAGAACCATAAATACAGAGAACAAATTGATGGTAGGGAGGGGGGTGGGGAGGTGGTCAAAATGGGTGAAGGGGAGTGGGAGGTACAGGCTTCCAGTTGTGGAATGAATAAGTCACAGGGATAAAAGGTACAGCATAGGAAATATAGTCAATGTATTATAATAGCATTGTATGGTGACAGATGGTAGCTACATTTATGGTGAGTATAGCATAATGTATAGACTTGTCAAATCACTATGTTGTACACCTGAAACTACTGTAACATTGTGTGTCAACAATACTTCAATAAAAAATTTAAATAACATACTTAGGAATCAAATTTAACAAAAGAAATAAAAAATGTATACTCCAAAATCTGCAAAACATTGTTGAAGTAAATTTTAAGAGGCCTAAATAAGTAGAAAGAATCCCATGCTCCTGAATCAGAAGACTTAATATTGTTAAGATGGCAATATACCCCAAAGTAATATACAGGTTCAGTGCAATCCATATAAAAATCCCAGCTTGTTTCTTTGTAGAAATTGATGAGTTAATCCTAAAATTCATATGAAAATGCAATGGACACAGAATAGACAAAATGTTCTTGAAGAACATAGTTGGAAGACTCATAATTCCCTATTTCAAAACTTACTGCTAAGCTAAAGTTATCAATACAATATGGTAATGACTTAAAGATATCATACAGATTAATGTAATAGAATTAAAGTACACAGACACACACATACACACACACACACCCTCACCTTTATGGACAATTTATTTTCAACCAGAGTGCCATAAATATTCAGAATAAAGAATAGTGTTTTCAACAACTGATTAAGGAACAACTGGATATCCACTTACAAAAGAATTAATTTGTACCCCTATCTCACGCCATATACAAACATAAATTACTATAAAAATCTTTAAAAAGGTGTCTGTGCCTGCTGCTCCATCCTGTAGCTACCTTCTGCCTTCTCACCACCCACCATGGCCCTCCTGCACTCCAGCCAAATCCTGTCTTGGGTAGCCACTGCTTTCCACCCAGGCCTCACTGCCATAACTCCCACCAGAGACAGCTCCTGGTGGAGCCATGTGGAGATGGGGCCCCCAGAGCCCATCCTGGGAGTCACAGAAGCCTTTAAGAGAGACACCAGAGGAAAAAAAAAGAATCTGGAATTTGGTGCCTACCATGATGATAATGGAAAGGCTTATGTGCTCCCTAGTGGCTGGAAGGCAAAGGCCAAGATTGCTGCAAAAAATTTGGACAAAGAATACCTGTCCATTGTGGGACTTGCTGAATTTTGTAAGGCATCTGCAGAACTAGCCCTGGGTGAGAACAATGAAGTGTTGAAAAGTAGCCAGTATGTCACTATGCAGACCATTTCTGCAACCAGGACCTTGAGGATTGGAGACAGTTTATTGCAAAGATTTTTTTAAGTTTAACTGAGATGTCTTTCTGCCCAACACATCCTAGGGGAATCATACACCCATCTTCAGGGACACTGGCGTGCAGCTACATGGTTATTGATACTAAGACCCCAAGACATGCAGCTGTGACTTCATAGGCACTATGAGGATATTTCAAAAGTGCTACAGCAAAATGTTCTTCTGCATGTCTGTGCCCACAATCCCACAGGAATGGACCTCCCTGAGCAATGGAAGGAAGTAGCAACAGTGGTGAAGAAAAACAATCTTTTTGCATTCTTTGGCATGGCCTACCAAGGTTTTGCCAGTGGTGATGACAACAAGGATGTGTGGGCTATATGCCACTTCATCTTCATTGAACAAGGCATTAATGTTTGTCTCTGCCAATCCTATGCCAAGAACATGGGCTTATACAGTGAGCATGTGGGAACCTTCACTGTGGTCTGCAAAGATACTGATGAAGCCAAAAGGGTGGAGTCACAGTTGAAGATCTTCATCTGCTCCATGTATTTAAACCCTCCAATCGGTGGGGCCTGGATTGCCTTGACCATCCTGACCAGCCCTGACCTGTGAATACAATGGTTGCAGGAAGTAAAAGGCATGGACCACCACATCATTAGCATGTGCACTCAACTCGTCTCCAACCTCAAGAAGGAGGGCTCCCCATACTACTTACAGCACATCACAGACCAGATTGGCATGTTTTGTTTCACAGGACTAAACCTGAATAGGCGGAGAGGCTGACCAAAGAGTTCTCCATCTACATGACAAAGGATGGCCACATCTCTATGGCAGGCTTCACCTTGGACAATGTGGGCTATCTTGCCCATGCCATTCACCAGGTCACCAAGTAATTTCCCTGGTGAAAGGGAACACAGACAACCTTCCTGTCTACAGCATCTGCTGTTGTGAGATTCATATGGAGGGAGAAGGAAGGTAGATGGTGGTGAGCAGGTCATTTCTTTCAACCACAGTACTCAACACTCAACCATTGAATGTGTTTCTCAGAAAAGAACATGTAGTGAAATAGGGCAGAGGCATCTGTGGCTGGTGTCTGAAACTTTGTCTCTCAAAACCAAACTCCTGCTCATCTTTAACTCCAGTTGTTCCAAAACAGTTTATGTGTACAAGAAAGACATAGTCCCCCCAAAAACCTGTCAATCATGCCATTGCAATCAATATTTCAGAAGCTTTAACTGAAGCACCTTATGGTGCTGGGGGCACCTCTGCAGATCCAGCATGAGAATAGCACCTACAAGAGGCTTTGTGGGAAGACCTAGTTCTAACATTAGCAGTCAGCCTCATGTTTGTCCTCCTGTGATTGAACAAGATTATCAATAGACCTTGTTTTTCTTTGTTTTTGTTTTTTTTATTATGTTAGTCACCATACAGTACATCATTAGCTTTTGATGTAGTGTTCTATGATTCATTGTTTGCATATAACATCCAGTGCTCCATGCAGTATGTGCCCTCCTTAATACCCATTACCGGACTAACCCATCCCCCCACCCCCCTCCCCTCTAAAACTCTCAGTTTGTTTCTCGGAGTCCATAGTCTCTCATGGTTCGCATCCCCCTCGGATTCCACCCCCCTTCGTTTTTCCCTTCCTTCTCCTAATGTCCCCCATGCTATTCCTTATGTTCCACAAATAAGTGAAACCATATGATAATTGACTTTCTCTGCTTGACTTATTTCACTTAGCATAGTTTCTTCCAGTCCCATCCATGTTGATGTAAAAGTTGGGTATTCAACCTTTCTGATGGCTGAGTAATATTCCATTGTATATATGGACCACATCTTCTTTATCCATTCGTCTATTGAAGGGCATCTCAGCTCTTTCCACAGTTTAGCTATTGCAGACATTGCTGCTATGAACATTGGAGTGCAAATGGCCCTCCTTTTCACTACATCTATCTTTGGGGTAAATACTCAGTAGTGCAATTGTTGGGTCATAGGTTAGCTCTATATTTAATTTTTTGAGGAACCTCCACACTGTTTTCCAAAGTGGCTGTACCAACTTGCATTCCCACCAACAGTGTAAGAGGGTTCCCTTCTCCACAACCTCTCCAACATTTGTTGTTTCTTGCCTTGTCAATTTTTGCCATTCTAACTGGTGTAAGGTGGTATCTCAGTGTGGTTTTGATTTGAATTTCCCTGATGGCTAATGATGATGAACATTTTTTCATGTGTCTGTTAGCCATTTGTATGTCTTCTTCAGAGAAGTGTCTCAACAGACCTTGTTTCAGAAATCATGTTTCATGAAAACTAACAAGTCTGCTGCCACTGCAGTGAGGAATATAAAAGATGCTGTTTCCTGTCTTTTAAAAAGCTCTTCTTTTTAATACTTTCAGGCATTTTAATGTTCCTCTCTACTCCTTTATCACTGCTGTTCTTTTCTTTAGGCACAGAGATCTATAACTAGTGTAGGTTTTCATTCTATTCTACTGCTTGATTGACCATCAACCCCAT